CCACTTTATAATAGCTCACACTTCTCATCCCTTCACTATTGATAGACAGTTGTTTTGTATCCAGATCCTACAAATCGTGCTGCTATGAATAATATTTTTATATATTTTGGCACACACATACACACATTTCTATTGGTTTATAACTAAGAGTGCAATTGCTAGGTCATAGGTGAGTAGATGCTTGTCTTAGTCTCTCAAAAAACAAGTTTCTAGTAGTAAACAAATAGAGGAGGGTAAATCTCTTACTTTAGAAATTATTAGATAAGTGAGGAAGGAATGAGAGACTTAGACTATAATAACTCTTTTGCAACCCATCGTGAATTAACAGATTTAACCATTGAATAGCAATGACAATTAATAACACAATACAAGAAAAAACTAATGTTTGGTTCTTCCTCTTGATGGAAGAACAGAATCCAGTACCATGAAACAAGTCCAAGTGAAAAATAAATAAAGCCTGAATCTCAGCTAACTTCCATGGCCAATTACCAATTTACAGGCAATACAGGTAATAGAAATACATATTCAACTATGCCTTGGGGAGCAATCAGCAAAATACACACTACGGGGAGCTCTACCACACAATATACATTTCAATGAGAATCTATAGAATAAAAGAGAAAAAGCATATTTTTAAAGGTAAAACTAAATTATAATTTTAGATGATAAAATTATAAAATAGAACAAAGAAGTGATGATCATAAAAGTCAGAAGAGAAAAGAGTTTACCGCTGGGCTGGGGCAACTGATGGGACTTCTGGTTTGCCCCCCTCAACATCTATTCCTGGTGGCTAATGGGTGTTTACTTTTTATTAAAGGACACAAATTTTAGACAGTCTTTTTTCCTTTTGGAGTCCTATATTTTATTGTCTGACACAAAGGCTAATGAAAAAATAATTTATAAAGTATGGTTCCTGTTTTGCACAAAGCCTCCTCTGCATTTTCTTCTCTGAACGCCGAGCACCCAGAACAACCAGCGACCCCAGGAGCCCCAGCAGGGTGACCTCACTTCTAAGTGTGCATGCAGCTCACGTCACCAGAGGCAATATACAGGTTTATTCCTTGACTTTTGGAAAAACCTGATAGGACACAGCTAAGGGGAAGCCTTCCCTGCCGTCTGCAGGCTCTTGGCCATCAGTGTAGAGGGAGCTGGTCCTCACCTCTCCACAGGCGCCTTCGTGGCCAGAGCCTCCTCTCTGCATGGAGAGTAAGGCCTGGCCCTTCCCCTGAACACGTGACATGGATCTCGCCAAAGGTGGAGATGACACCATTCCTACCCCAGCAACCTCACGCTTCTTTTGCTTTACAGAAAAGTTGATTCAACCTGGTGTCCAGTGAAGAAATCCCAAGTGCGAAGGAGAGGTGGATCTCAGGGCTGTGTGTGATCTGCAAAAGGAAGCGCATGAACCACCAGGCAGCACTGCTGCGCTGCTTCTGCTCCCAGGTGGTGGATATCCAGGATGAGCTTTAAGGTGGAGAAAGGGGTGTCACCAGGATCCAAGTAAAAAGCTTTCTGCCCAGCCCATCTCGTTCTCCTTGAATCCTCAAGGCCAATGAGGACCGTCTCCTCACCTCCTTGGACTAGGCTTTTTAACACGGAAAAGTGGATGTGATTTCTAGTTTCAGCATGTTCTGGTTTATTGCCCTGCCAGTAAAATAAAATCAAAATATACATCGAATAAATAACAACTAAAATAACCATAGTGAGCAAAGATTTACATTGTATTTTTTAGAGTCAAGATGCCCCTCTGTGACTGGGCTGGAGTCCAGTGGTGCAATCATAGCTCACTGCAGTCTTGAATTCATGAGCTCAAGGGATCTTCCCACCTCAGCCTCCCCAATACCTGGAAATATAAGTGCTCACCACCACGCCCAGGTAAGGGTACTTATTTTTATTTTATTTTTTAGAGATGAA